GGTGGCAATAACGATGTACGTGCGCTCCAAAGCTACAGCTTGTTTGTATTTTGTCTAACTGAGGCAGGAGAACAACAAATTGGTTGGGTCCCTGAAAAAGACTGTGCAATGTTGGATGCTGTTGGAAAGACATGCGACTTGCTAAACTTTCATGCCAAAATTGGCAGTGCAAGTGGCAAAAATATGGGAGACAAGTTTACCAACTAAGATAACAATTTTATAATTTGTGAGGATTTGTGAAATAATTAATAATCAAGTTATTTTTAATTAATTATGTGGGAAATGTATTGATAGTTTTATGTAAATCATGTATCTTTTCTAAAGTTAAAAATGTGTGTTTTTATGTATATATTTTTGATAGGTTTGTTTGATGTTGGGTATATAATGTATATAGAATGTATTCCTGGCTATTTATTCACTCGCTTTGACTGTATAATTTAACAATAACTGTTGTGGTAGTTCTGTCTAAACATTTTAAGCTAAATTGGTTTCCTGGCTATTTATTCGCTAGCTTTGACTGTATAATTTAACAATAACTGTTGTGGTAATTGTCTGAACATTTTAAGCTAAATTGGTTTCCTGGCCATTTTATTCACTAGCTTTGACTCTATAATTTACCAATAACTGTTGCGGTAATTCTGTCTCATAATTTTTAGGTTAATTGGTTTAAAATCTGGATATTTTAGACTATGGTGACTTATGAGCATACAAAAGTAACCAAAATGACCATTGTGTTTATTGCAAGGGATTCAAAATATTTTCAAGGTTTATGGTGAGACTGTTGCTAACTTTGATTTTATCACTTCAGTCAAATAAAATCACTTTAAGTCGCCTAAAGTCGCAATGTTTTTTGTGCTAATTTTGCTAAGTCGCCTTAAGTCGCCCAAAGTCGCCCAAAGTTACGGCGACTTAAGGCCCCAGAGTAGGCCTTTTGAATCTCAGCCCCAACAGCAGGGCGAGAAGTTTGTCTCAGCTTATGGCCGTTATCGTCAATGAAGACACTCCATACAAGGCATAGCCTGATATGACGGCTGTATCAAACGCATATCGACATAGAGTCCAATCTTCTTAAATCGAAGAAATCCAATAAGTTGTATAAAGTGGCTGGGCAGCAAGTCCAAGCATAAGATAAGTTGTTGTCAGACAACGATACAGGAGTTTGGACGGCGGATGGTGGGAAGATTCCACGTAAAGTGCAACAAGGGTGAGAGAATTCTCAAGAAATGCTGCGATGTAGAGGAGAATGTTGACTGTTAAACATAGGATGCATGTTGTGTTAATTCACGTACCAATGGTGGGGAACGTACCAATTCTTCAAATTTTTTCGGTTGTGTTTCAGTCTCTGTTAAGTTTTCTGTTGCCATCATTCTATCGTTGACGACCAATCGTTTGCTTTTCTCCTCCAGGTTATCTATACTTTCAGCAAAAGAAGTTTTGTGTTTGCGTTATCCTCTTTTAATGTCACTTAATTAGGGAGCCTTCATTATTTATGGCGGGGGAAGGGATGGCAAGAATAATGGAGGGGTCATGATAAATTCAGGAACTAAATGGGGGGTCATTAGAAAAATTTGTGAATAATGTAGGGAGGGGGGGTCAAAAGCTTTTTGTTGTTACATATCATCTACAAGTGTGGGTTTAGTTTGTAGAACATTACCCACCATACAAGATATAGGGAACAATAGCTAACTTTGCATACACTGGAAAACTATTCTTCTTCAAGCTCTACACAGTACCATACCAAACTGGACACAGTACCATAGGATATCTCTTATATTGTTACCCATTTTGTATCAACTTTAGATTTCAAACCATAGAACTGTATTGTTAATGTGTTTTTGCAATAGAATTAAATGTTTGAAAGATAATTTTCACTTCTTTGTAGCTGCTTTGATAGTCCTAGCAGGAGGGGGGCTAGCTATTTTTGCAATTACAGCTAGAAGGGTCATGACAATTTTAATTCTTATAGAGCAGGGTCAGGATATTTTGTTTAGTCTCACTGAAAATCTTGCCAGCCCACCCCCTCCCATAAATAATGAATTATTAATTCTGAGTATGACTACATGTATGACTTGAAGAGGATCCAACTAAAAGTACAGAAAAGTGCTTGTCTAATTGTCTGCCTGTTTAACTATACTGCTCTTCCAGTGGTAAAAAATAGGTTTGAAGATGAGTTTACCAGAAAAGGCACTACTGCCACCATTAGCATAAAGCAGTGACAGAAGAAAGAATCCATAAGATGGCTACATTGTTGCATGTGTGCATTAAAGCTACAATCTATCTATACTTCATTCCAAACAATAGGGCAAGCAGAGTTTTACTTTAGGCTCATTCTTGACATAGATTTCTGATGAAACTTTGTACTCTGTTGTAACATGTCAAGGAGATCATAGAAATGTTGATGATTTTCAGGAAATAAATGTGCTTCTTCGACCAACAGATATACTGGGAATCCATATGGCATCAAGTCCACTGGACATTCAGCCGACATCAGCAGTTGCATGTCTACTTATAGAGCAATGATATAGAGTATTTAACTTTTTACACTCTTTATCCACAACAATACAACGATACTATTTAACAGTAAGCATAAAAGAGTAAGGCCCAGGGATAAAAGGATAAAACTGGCTAGAAATTTTGACTAAATCATTTTATTATATTTTTTTCTTGGAAGGGGGGGACAGTGGTGATGGTGGCTGTCCAAGCTAAATGTTAATGTTATGGGCTAAGGTTTAAATGCAAAAAGTGCTGAAAAAAACTCTGTTGATGGTAAAAATCTGGGGGGAATATAATTCAGTTGTATTGACATAACATTGGTCTTCATTTAATTTAAAGGGTCTACAGTCAGTCCTATAATCAGGAGATGCAACCAATTGAAAATTGTAACTTAATACATAACTGAGAACACAAAAAGAAAGACTACCAATCCGCACTGAACCATCAACAACAATGCTACCCTCTATTTACCATCTCCATGAAAAATGTTTTAGTGCCATCTCCTGGGGATTGGTTTAATTGGTACTATGTAAAGAAATCGCTGGTAGATGTCTATACAGACAGTCCTCTGTTGTCCCTTATTGCCTAAGACCTTTAAGTGTGGTTCAAGCCACCTTGTCATGATCTTGTGATGCAAAGTTCCTCGTTATACAAGATTTCCCAGAGAGAGAATCATCTTTTGGGTGCAGTTTTGTGAAAGGTGGTAAGCCATAATCTACGATTAAAAGTGTAACTTGTCCTTGATTTCTCTTGAAATCAATTTTATGTAACAGCATACATTCTGAGGGGGTTTACCTTAGCATCAGACTAAACTGAAGGAAAAAAAATAGAAACAATGAAAACTGTCTCCAAAGCTACAAATCTTAGTAAAAATTCTTGGCTAAACCTTGGTTAACTTAATTGTGCTTTGAATAACCTGGCCTTGGTTTACAGCAACACTATAAATCCTCAATTACTAGTATGCAGTTCTACTCCCACCTGGTCAATGTTAAGCTTTTAGGATGCTAGTACTTTCATTGCATATAACCTTTTTCATTCCCAAAATAAAATATTGTACAGGTATGGATATAAGTCTTAGAAATGTTTTTAAAGTTTGATTTTTATTCTAGATTATTTCTTCCATTTAGCTTGCTTCTCTTATTATATTAATTACATTTGTTTTTGTTAAGCATTTTTAACATGAGCCTTTACCATGGGAGACTTGACCATGAACCACACTCTAAATTCTTTTAAATTAAACCTTTCACTCCCAAGATGTCATTAGTAATTCTCCTTTCTGTCTGTTACAAAATTCTTATGATGTTACTGGTTACTGTTACGGTACTGAGAATTTGACTTTGGTTCAACTAATATTGTATGGTAACTTTTTTTTTTATTTCATCATCCTTGCATAATTATAGTAACAACAAACCAAGCATCGTAAATGTTACCGCAAATCAGTGCTCTAATCGTTGCTGGTCAAAAATTTCCTTATCTTCTTTGGTAGTTTTTCATAAACAGACTGAGGAATTTTCACATAAAGTTGGGACGAGAAGTCGAACATGGCATCACGGCCCAAATAGCCATACTCCACCTCAAGGAAAGTCTTCAAACAGTTTGGTCCCTTAACAGAAACACCTTCAAAGTTGTACGGTTTCAGAGGCAGGATACACGTCTTTGGGAATTGCTTTCGCCTGTATTCGTATCTCCCAGGAATATTCCAGTTATAGCAAAAACAACTGTGGTCATCTGGATGTTGTGCAAATGTAAACACATCCAAATGGACCAGACCAGGGTCAAACAACAAATCTTTTCGAATTCCGAATCTATCCCACAGCTTTCTGCTGGCACAGAATTTAAGTCGTTTTCCACCACTTCCATTGTACAATATCTCCCTTCCATGTTCATCAAACCAACTTATCCCACTCACAGGACACTTGTTAGACACATGAATAAAACCGTCTTGCATAGCGGTAAAGGAAGGTAGATTCTGCAGAACACTTGAAAAGCTACACTCGAAAATGGCGATGTCTACATCCCCATCATGGCGGATCATTTTTCCATCTTCCCTGTAAACTGACAGAGCTGTACCACCACAAACAAAGTACTCAATATCGATCTCACTCAAATACTTGACAACCTTTTCAAGCACATAAACACAAACAGGTTTGAAGAGCTTATTTTGACCAAGCTTGGAACTGAAGTTACTGAGGGTGCATCCATTCCACATGTCAAAGCTGATGGATTTTGGTGCTACAGGTTCATTTGAAGGACTACCTAGTCTTTGTTCTCCTTCCTCTTTATCAATTTGATCTTGACAAAGAGCAAAGAAATCTTCCTCACAAGAAGCCATCTAAAGGATTAAATCCTTACTATGAGACGATGATAGTCCATACGATCTGCTAAAACCCGCAAATTAGCCCCAGTCCATTACTCGGTTTTCCAGTCACTTAGAGGACAAAACTAAATTAAGGAGGCTCGAAAGGGTTTTCCACAATTAACAGCAAGTGCCAATCAGTAAAAGATATCAG